TAAATGAATTCATAAATAAAATCCTTAAATAGTATTCAAATAATCTTTAAATAAGTACACGAAAAGGATTTAATTTTTACAACAATTATTTAATTATTAACTAATAAATTAAAACAAAACTTAATAAATTTAGCAATTTCGCAAATGATTCAACATTCTGGTTAATATTGACTTATAACTTTTCCGTGAAAGTTTTTCGTCCCCAGCAACTGTGTTGTTAACAAATTCTAAAACGATAATAAACATTTGTATTAAAATTTACGAATATATTTTTTCAATTATACATTGTTTTGTATACTCACAAAATACTACTTCAAAAATCGTTGTTGGAAATCTGGGCGTGTTCCTTTTGCCAGTTGCTGTCATAGTAAAGAGAGCCTCTTTTGATTAAGGTACTGATTAATTTTAATACCATCCGGGAGCTACTATTAGCGTATTTTTGCTGGATGCTGTCAAGCTCTCCTTTAGAGTGTATATATTTGCACCAGTAGCTAAATATACCTAAAAATATTGTTAAGATTGAGTATATGCAATGAGATGATTTATCAATGAAACGCATTTATATTTGCTTATGTACGAGGTTTGTCCGAAAAGTATCGGGCCTACGTTTATATCTTAGCACCATAGTGTTCGAGCGACCTCTACCGGACAGAAACGTCAACAGTAAAGCCTCACGAATCTATTGGTTACTTACTGACACCTGCCGGACGTATAGTTCATGCGCAGCATGTCTTTGTTTACAGTGCCTTTTTTGCGTTCGTCGGATTTTGATATTGTCAAAAATGACTGAAAAACAAGATCAACGAATTTGCATAAAATTTTGAAACGTTTGCGTGATGCAGTAAGAAGAAAACGGCCGCACTTTTGGAAAAGTGGTAACTGGCTTCTCCATCACGATAATGCGCCAACGCATTTTTCCCATCTTGTGCAGCAGTTTTTGAGCAAACACAATATCGCATTGCTTCGACAACCTCCATACATCCCGACATAGCCCCTTGTGACTTTTGGCTGTTTCCAAAACTAAAACAACTCAAAGGACACCGATTCGATGACAAAACAACGGTTGAAAACAATACGACGAGTGTACTTAAGGCTATCCCTAAAAGTGAGTTCCAGGACTGTTTTGAAAAGTGGAAACATCGATGGAACCGTGTTATTCAATCAAGTGGGGATTACTTTGAAGGATGCCACCCACCAGATGTTAAAGAATAACGCTAGCACGGAAATATAAAGGTAGGCCCGATACTTTTCGGACAGTCCTCGTATGAGTTTGTGCGAATTTGCGTATGCGTATACACAAATGCATAAGAAGTACATATACGAAATCAACCCCATACTGTAAATTTTATGTATAAAAAAGATGCAATTATACATACGCTTTTTGCATTTGGTTCAAAACCAGCGAACTCTCACCTCAAAATTCTACTGGTATCAGCTTTCTCAGCTTCAGCAACCCCTAATCTCTTTTTTCCTTCCTTCGCTCCTTCTCCTTCTCCCTCTCTTCAACATCTACTTCTCTTACCTCTTGACCTAAAAATTGAAGATTAATTTTATTTATTTTGTTTCATATAATAATCCGTGGAATTCGGAATTGAATATAACTATATATCTGCTTTCTGATCTTGTTCTTTCACTCTCTCTTCACCTTCGTCTCTTTCGTCTGCTTCTATTCCTTCTCCTATTATTCCGTATTATCTCATCCTTTCTTCTGTTCTTCCATCTTCTTCCATCCCTTCTCCGATTTTTCCTCCTGCTTTCTCCATCGCTTTTCCTTTCTGTCATCTTTCTTCTTCTAATTCTTCTCCGTTGTGTCCTCCTTCTTCCATCCCTTCTCCCTTGATATCATTTACTTCTTTCATATCTTCACTCTTTTCTTTTACTTGTCCTCCTGTTCCCTTTAATAAAATAAATGTGTCAATGAATTAAAATTATTATATTTTATAATGGGCAAAATTTTAGAAGTTCAATAGAAAAAATGAGAGTATAATTGATTGTGAGAAAAGGTATAAATACTGACCTCCATTTTTCAGGAGCACTATCCGTGAAAACGTCCAAACTTTCAAGGTACAATTCATCATCTAAAAAAAATATGTTTCAGTGTTATCCGTATTATGTATTCAAAATTAATCAAGTGAGAATGTGCGTGTACAAATATGTGGTGTATATGTGTATCCATCAGTATATTAAAGGTTATCTTACACCGAAAAAAATACATGTGCTACGGATAGCAAGCGCGAAGCCGGGGTCCATACATGTAGCAAAGCATAGGTTACATGTGTCCGTCATAAATATAGATGCGCCAATATGGCCAAGAAATTGAACCGTTCAGTCTTTTTTGTCTTTTGCTAGATTACTTTTCATTTAGGGTACGCGCACAAACAGAGGTGATCCACGTACAGATATCGAGAGGTAGCGCCGAGTTGTTCCTCGTATAGCCAGATGTGTAGGCCTACGTTTTTTGTAAACATGTAGCGAACACACGGTGACACGAGGCTTGATATTCAACCTTCTCACTACGCGAGCGATCGGTAGGTATCTGATAGAATGTGTGTGATGTATGGATTATAAGAGAAGTCCTCTGTAGTGGTGGAAGAATGCGAGTAGTATGAGTGTGGAAACAGTAAGTTGCGTTGTAGGACCGGTCTGTCATTCGCGATTTCCGCCCTCCATATTATGGCCAATCGGCACCAATCCTCCGTGGCTTCGTTCATTTGATGTATATAGCTATTACCAGGCATATTCAGGGCTGTAGGTCACAGCTCGAGTGCGCGCAAGTACCATGCGAGCTCTCGAAGCTGTTTTGAGCATCAGCAGAATGCAACCAAGTCATGGTTCGCTGTAAGTACTAGGATAACCAAGATCGTTCAGCAATTCGCCAATGAGATGGAGTTAGAGTGACGAAGAAAATTGACGATAGAGAGGGCGCAAAAGCAAATGGTTGGAGGGAGGAAGAGAGAGAGAGAGAGATAGAGAAGGAGAGGATAGACAACGACGAAAACCAGCTAAACTAATCGAAGGTGACCAAGGGTGGAAAAGTGGTGCGCGCTGTTAGACCCTTCAGGCTCCGCCCACGATTGTGATGACGGAGCATCGACAGATATCCACGGGAGGCCAGAAACGAAAATAACACGACAGACTGAGTTGAGAACTTAACGAGTCAGGTATTCTTTTGTCAATCAGCGTGCAATAGTTTTACTCGATCGTATTTTTTCGTTGATATTGTATTTAAAATTAAATTATGTGTTAATAATTAGATCAAGTGCTGTTACTTGCTCATTCATCCAACAACATGCTTATTATACTTACATTCAGTAAACTTTACGTACCAAGGGACATAACAAATAGCGCGCTAACCGTGGTGGGATCAGGGTCCTACTCCGAGGATAAACACAATTTTTTCAGGTAGGTCGTAATATAGAGCCTGAGTAGTTTCTGCGTGGATCAACATATCCCTGCGAATCTATGGTTTCTGTTTTTTTTTCAACATAGAATCGGAAAATTAATTTATTTGGGGGTATTTGAATATCAATTTTCTAATTCTATATGTTAAAAAAATGTCAACGCACACAAAAACACCTTAGGTTCTAAATTAAAACCTGTCCGAACAATCGTGTTTGTCTTCGAAATAGTACTCTGAATGGACCACGGTTCGTTACACGTTCTACGCTTGGTACACGAAGGTATATATAAAAATGGTAGCGCGGTGCAAAAAGGTTATAGATGATATAAAAAATTTCAAATTATAACAAAAAATAATATACAAAGTTTGTAAATAATATAAAACATACTCACTGCTATTTACTATTATGTCCGCCATGAACTACTTTTTCCTGAATTTTACTTCAATTAACTTTTCCACAAGCCTCAAATTTATCGACCGCACCATACTATACTCCTTTACACCTTTCCATAAAACCGAACAGTACTTTTTTATTTCATATGCTATAATAGGAATGCATAGGCAACTGACGGCTTTTGCAATTTAATTATAAAAAGAAAATAGTTGCCGGTAAATTTATTTGCTTTGTATTTTTGTTTTTCGTTCCGGTAAAATATTATCAAAATCGATTCTTTTTTTAACGCCCCTCACTTTTTAGTGTATACGCTAAACATAGAAGAAAGATAATAGAGAATAATGTTAATTATTTACTTGATTTTAGCAATATCAGGTTAGATTGGTTCAGTATACTCGACAAAGAAATGTATGTAGGGAAATTTAAGACTGTAATAGCTTTCAGCGAGATATTTGTTCGTTAATAATTAAGAAAGATATCTTCAGAGTTTCAGATCGATCAAAAAAAATCATTGAAAAACAGCGTTTATACAAAATCCGCTCGCTGGCGTCATCGATGAAGTGATGCTTACGTGGTTGCTAATGTGGGATGATGCCGCGCGTGCGAGACCACGCGTTTGTGGTAAAAACGCTCTATTTCAGTGAACATTTATTGAATCGATCTGAAATTTAGAAAAAATCTTCCTTGATTGTTAATGAACAAATATCTTACTGCAAATTATTTCAGTCTTCAACTTCCCTGCATACATTTCATCATTGAGTGTACTAAAAACATGTATCTTGAAATAGTTTACTTAAAATTAAATAAATAATTAAAATTATTGGAAAATTCTTTGAAACGTGAATTTTATAATTTATTTCTTAACTAACTCGCTCTACTAATTTTATTTATTTCACCGTTTCTTGTTGCTCGCTGTCATTATTTTTTCTACTATCGCATTCACGCATCTTTACGGACGATTATATATTTTGAGAAATGAAGATACAAAAATGACGCTAGTATAAAAATCATTTTTTATGAAAATCCATAAGTCATATAGCATTTTTACAACTTCATGTTTATAGAAAAATTCATTTTACAAAAAATTTACAATTACAACCCCAAGAGTCTAAACACCATTACATCAGATTTTTATAAATTTACTTTTTGCTCTTCAAGAAAATTAATCAGTTATATTTTTAACTACATTCATTAATTTATTTGCAGGACCAGCTAAAGCACTATTTGAGATGTCATATTTTCATCTAATAAAAAGAGCTTTAAACTCAAATGGAATCATCTGTAGTCAAGCGGGTACTATATGGGCTAATTTCGAACAAGTGAAAACTACGTTCAGTCATTGCAAAGCCTTATTTTCAAAAACAAACTACGGCATCGCACCAGTACCTACTTATCCAACTGGGCAAATAGGTTTTGTACTAGGAAGTTTAAATCCTGTAAGTATATACTTAATGAAAGTGGAATGATACTTATGCAGACGTATGAATAATTATTTGAGATTTTTTGCCTGCGAATCACTAGTTACTTATATAGACTTAAGGGTTGATGTCCGCCCCCCCCTCCCCGTAAATAAAAAATTAATGCTGTCGCCAAACTCTACCTATTTTACTGTTATGAATTCCCAAAACTATCTTAAAATCTTTTTAGGCATATATATATATCATCACTTATGCAAATGCGCGTCCGCATAAGTTATGATTTACACGGCTATAACATACATGTATGTGTATTAGTGTATATGGTTGTGCGTGAACATGAAAAGTCTTACGTCACTGTCATTTCTCTCCATCAGTGCATGTAATCATAACTATATTTAACATTTTATTAATAGATCCATTAATCACTTCAGAAATTTTATTTTAAAAAAATAAGAATGAAACATGAAGAATAAGTTACTTATTCAGTGTAATAATTTAGGAAAACTCACAGCTTTTAAAGCAATGAGCATCCTTGACTAAAAAAAGTACATTGTGTAGATTTAATTCATAAATTCCAGATAATTTTTATATAACCAGTTATAAAGCTAGTAATTTTTGAGTAAATTTCTGATGAGATAATGCACAATACATTACATAGTTCGTCTACATTCTCTTTATTATTAACAATTAATCAAAAATACTTCATGTATCATATATCTAAGATCCATTATCTATTTCAGTTCAATTCAAAATCAAGATATTGGTGTCACTCCAATCTAATTCACGGTTTTTTTCATGTACGAGATATACAGGGTGTCCCATTTTAACTTTCACAGCTGAATATCTCGTAAACAAGCTCGAAAAGCTAAAAAATGATTCATAGGAAAGTTTTTCAAGATCGAGTAGGCCATGTATTTGTTACGTCCTGAGATGTAAAATTAAATCATTTTGAGATCAACGGCAATCATGCGAATTGAAAATAGCAAAATAAGAACAAAACGTATATCACCTTTTTATTCTACGAAACGCAAAAATTAATTCAGCAGAAAACCCAATTGAGAAATTGAAACATCAACTTGATTACTCGACAACTAAATGTAAGTCAGTAAGTCAATGTGTAAAACAGCGTTTCAATTTTTAGTCAGTTGATTCGCGATTCGCGACAATTCTACTGTACCATTTGACTCTGCCACTCATTGAGTGAAATCCATTTATTAAATAAAGTGTTATTAAATATTATTAAATAAAGTGTATCAAGTTCATTTCTATAATTTCCATATGAAATATTCTCAATAATAAAGAAACCAATTTAAGAAGAAAATAATATAAAGGAACAAAGAGTAAGATAATAATTTATTAACATCTTCAACAATATATATAACCCAGGTAAGTCCTGCCATTATACATATTATATCATAACCATACCGTGGTAAAATAAATTTTACTCATACTAAACAAATACATGTCACGGCTACGGAGTCGCGACATAACATATTGATGAACTTGGATTTTACCTTGAACGCGATCCGTCAAGGTCATTTCAAGGACAATGTTGTATTTGAATAGGAACCTCTATTTTTGACCACGGATTTGGATTCCTCGTGTAATTCTACGTTGAGTTCATGAAATAAATGTGAGGTCCTCGGGCCGTCTACTCCCCAATTGCCCCTCCAAAATATTATTTCGAGGTCAATGTTGTTTTTTCAATGGAAACTCCTATTTTTCATCACGGATTTCGGTTCCTTGTCAAAATCTACGTTTAGATAAAGCAGCTACATATATGGGCTACGGATGATCTCCCCAATACCCCCCCCCCCCCAGGTCATTTCAAGGTCTATGTGGCGTTTTCAATTGAAACCCATATCTTTGACTAGCTATTCAAATTCTGCATAAAATTCTATGTTCAGATGATATTTCGTAAATGAATGATGAATCTCTGCTACCCTTATTTTTACATTTTCTAGCATATTTTAGGATGTTTCTTGATTTTTACTAAACTAAGCAACCACGGGGATCTGCTTTTAGGAAAAATTTCTTAAGCATCAACGTACCAGATCCAAGTGCAACTATTGTTTAAGTAATAGAAAATTTTTTTCTTAAAAACTCTTAAAACTGAAAATTTTTAAAATGGTTTACGGATTCTCACGTTAGTTTGCGTCAAATTGAACGAGAAAGTAGAATTCCACGAGCTACAGCTCAAAGATTATTACGATCTATATGATACCATTCTTATCACATAATTATGGTACAGGAATTAAGTCCAGAAGATCATACTTAGGATTCAATTTTTTAGATGGGCTCTTGATATATTGGATGAGTTATTCGATTTTTTTTAGAATGTTTGTTTCAGTGATGAGGCTACGTTAAGTATAGGAAGTTTAAATAGACACAATAGCAATTGTTGTCACCGGAAAATCTACATTGGTATCGCTAGGTACTCAATCAATATCGTTGGACTTTACATGTATGGGTTGGCATATGTAATGGTTAAATTTTTGGGCTATATTTCTTTGAACGGACTATTAATGGTGCAATGAGTTTAGAATTTCTTTGAAACAATTTGCCGGAATACCTAGAAGACGTTCCGCTTGCAGTTAGACAGAATTTATGATTCCAATAAGATGGCGCTCCTGCTCACTATGTTCGTATTGTACGAACTTTTCTATTGAAAAAACAACATTGACCAGGAAATAACCCTTTGAGAGGGACAATAGGGGAGTGGGCGGCCGCGAGATTCCACATATATTATATGATCTGAATGTAGAATTTCACGAGGAATCCGAATCCGTGGTCAAAAATAGGGGTTCCTATTCAAAAACAACTTTGACATTGAAATGACCTTGACACATCGCGTTCAAGGTCAAATCCAAGTTCATCAACACATACCCCCTTGATCCTGAACAATTTTCATATGAATTTTTTTTGCTTTCTGGGCTTGTTTCCGAGATATTTAGCTGTGAAAGTTAAAATGGGATACCCTGTATATGTATTAATTAGTGCATTAAGGTTTCGTTATTTCTTTCTCCATTTGCATTAGTCTTTAATGCATACTTCATTTTGTCTACACATACGAGTTGTGTTCAAAATGTAAGGTGAATTTTTAAATTGGTCTGGCTACGTTCATTCGATCATTGATATTTTTTTTTATTATGTTGGTATACATATCTCTCACATATGCTCACAGTTTCAGTTAGATTTTATGTTTACTTTTTTTTGTGAGACAGAAACGTTAAACGTGTTTTTTGTGCTCGGTGATTTTCTACTGTCGAAAACAATGGATCAAAGAGTTTGCGTAAAATTTTTTGTAAAAAATGGAATTAAGTGCTCCAAAACACTTGAAATGTTGACAGTGGCATACGGTGAATTTACTTTAAGTCGAAAAAATGTTTACAAGTATTATAAGCTATTTCAAGATGGCCGAGTAGACACCGACGACGAACCTTGCTCTGGACGCCCCAGCACTTCCATAACTGATGAAAGTGTTGAATAAGTGAAACAAATGATGTTAAAAAATCGTCGAATCACTATTAGAGAAGTGGCTGAAGACGTCGGCATCTCTGTTGGTTCGTGCATTGCAATTTTTTCCGAAGTTTTGGGTATGAAATGTGTAGCAGCAAAATTTGTTCCGAAACTGCTTAATTTTGAATAAAAGGACCGTCGAAGGAGCATCACTCAAGAGCTGTTAAACGACGTCAATGATGATATCCTGATTTTCTCAAAAGAGTCATAACTGGTAACGAATCATGAGTTCATAGTGATGACGTCGAAACTAAAGCCCAATCGTCCCAATGGAATACTTCACAAGAGCCAAGACCGAAAAAAGACCGAACGTGAAGTTCGATCAAATGTCAAGGTTTTGCTCACTGTTTTCTTTGATTATCGTTGCGTGGTACTGCGATAGTTCTTACGACAAGGTCGTACGGTCAATAACGAGTATTATCTTGAAGTTATGCACCATTTGCGAGAAGTAATATAAAAAAACGTCCGGAATTGTGGAAAAACAATTCATGGATTTTGCATCACTTTAATGCACCTACTCACTCATCTTTGCTTGTGTCGAACTTTTTGGCCAAAAACACCACCACGATCATGCCTCAGGCACCATATTCACTGAATATGACCCCCTACAAATTTTGCCTGTTCCCAAAATTCAACAAATCCACGAATGGACGGAAGTTTGGAACGATTGAGGAGTTAAAGAAAAAATCGCTGGAAGAACTCAAGGCTATACTCACTATAAGTGCTTCGAGGATTAGAAAGAACGTTGCATAAGTGTATTATATCCGAGGGAGATCACTTTGAAGGAGATAATATAAATATTGATGAATAAATAAATATTTTTTCATAAAAATAAAAATTCACCTTACCTTTTGAACAGACCTCGTATTCCTTTTCGTTTTGTTTATAATCTAAAAAAAGTTTGCTTCATTTTATATTTACAGATGCGTACGTAAGTATGTTGCCTGCCTAAATTAAAATAACATAAAAGTCAAAGTTTTTTAGAGTCATTTAGAATGGTGGTAAAAAAACGCGTAAACAAATAACTTTTATATTCCTTCATGTTTGGAAAAAATAACTAATGTCGTTCTTTATAGTAAAAAACTAAATTTTTTTTTTCATTTTTTTCAACGTATAAAAAATACCTTCCTACTGTTGAATCGTTGAATTCAAAAACTTAAATTGAAAAAATGCTTATTTGTTTTTTTTTTAAAGTTAACAAAACATTTTTATTGATCTCTGAATTTAAGCACTATAAACAAAATCTTCATGAAGAAAAAATATTTATTTTTACCTGTAAAATAAGCGTTTATTATCCAAATCAAATTGTAGAAAAAATTTGTTCTTTTCATTTTTTTGTCATGTTGGAAATAGAAATAGATATTTTAGTTTACTAGTTAGAAATGTGTCATGAAGATGACGAAGCAAACATGTATTGAACTCCTTATTAAAGCTTTTATGAAGTTACGAAAAAGGAAAGTGTTCACGAAAATTACTTCAGATGTCGTAATACGTAGTTC